TATTGAACTTGACCCTTCCGGTTTTGCAAAAAAGTTCCAAAATATATTTATGCACATTGTTGCCTATATCTAAGGTTCGTGAATGTTGAATGGTTGCTGCAACTACTATAGACTCAGGAAGGTGTGTAAAAATTAAAAAAAAAAAAAATTGAAATGTGATAACGGTACCGAAGCGGTGCGCATCCAACCTGATACATCGATAAAACGTTGTATTTTATAGTCACAATGGGATTTCTTACCGGAAAGAAAAGCATGTAAACATTCAATAATAAAAAAATCGTTTAAACCGTTGAACGTTTGGTAGTGAAAAGACACATGAATTTGATACCATTCGGTACAAAAGGTGCCAAGTTTTCAAATAGCTGTCAAGTTAAAAGTTCAATTCGCACAACAAAATTGAAACTATGTTTGGAAAATTCTCGTAAAGTATAATAACTTGTTTTACGGTCAAGAGGTCAACAAAGGTCAAATAAAAGAGATATATGCCTTAAAAGTGTTGAAAATTGCTGTTTTGGGACGTCTTTTAAAGCGGAAATATATGTCGGACATCAAAGATAAAAGTATGAATGGACATCATAGATCAATGACCTTTGACCTTGTAAAGACCAAATATCAAAATTTTATAAATTGTAAAACCTATTCTCTTTTTTAAAGTAAAAGGCCCAAACAAAATGTAACTATCAATTATTGTCCCAAATAGTTGCAGTGCGTTCTTTGTTTTCGAAATGACTATTTTTTATTTTTTTTTTTTGTCTACTTCTGGTCACGCTCCCCAGCCAAAACTGCACATACCACAGATTACCTGACATCATTATCTCTTATACTTAATGTGTCGCTATTGTTTAAATGTAAAATGACGCATCTTTGCCTAACCGGAAATGACGTAGGACTTTAACCATTCATTACGTCTTTCCAATACCTGCTATTATTCTGAATCTATTTTGAACATAATTTTTGTTTTGTTCATTACTTTAAACTATTGCCTAAAAGATAGCAATTTAAGAAATTTCAAATTTTGACTTTTGTCGCTGACTTTTGGAGATTTTATTTAAAGCATTTTTTAAACTTCCACAATTTTATTGCAATCGATCTGAAAATTTACATGAAGATAAACATTTTGATTGAGAACAAAAATATGCTTTCAAAATTTAGATATCACTTCCGGTTTTGACGTCATTCGCCTTAAAACTTCAAATTTCAACTTCCGGAATTTTGTAGATATTTGAAAAATTCTTTTTGTAATTAGTTATAATTGTCCCCGTGAAGATTTTGGAATGACAAAATTTGACCCGGAAGTATTATGTAAGACGCCATCTTGATATGACTCATTTTTATAAAACTCAAAATGGCTCCTCAGGGTAAAATTGGATGTGCGTAAATTTGATGTTTATGTAAACTACAATCGATTGCTAACGAAACATGGGAAGCCGATTTTTGAATTTTGGCTTTGTATTTTTCCGGTTTTATGTTTTCAGTAATTGTCAAAACTATTAAGGCTCATATCTAGTGACTTTGACCTTTGGTGACCTTGTGACCTGAACAAAAGTTGTTGCCTCTTACGAGATCTATCCGATTATATCCCCACTTTTGTTGTGCATCGTTAATTTCCGGTTCTACAGCCATTGGAAAATCGCGATTTTTAACTTTGAAGAACTCTGTCACGTGACCTGATTAACATACGACAAAAATTCTTATATATTCTTTGAGTACATGAAATTTCCTTTTGGTGATATATCACACTTGACATTCTGATCAAAATTGGGCATTTTAAAAATTGAAAATTTTGTACTGACTTCTATAGTAACTGTGCGTAAATTCACGGTGTCTATAATCTACCGACAGTCACTGTTGCCTTAAAAAAAACTTTTAACTACGAATATCTCATGATCTAATGATTGTAAACACTTGAAATTTTGAACATTATTTAACAATGTACACGTCATCACAGACAAATTGAAATTTTTGAAATAGGCGTGGCACATCCGGTGTGCATATACCGTTACCTGAAATATTTGCATTTGTTACAACTCGGATAGTTTGCAATTGTCACCCTAGAAATTTTGCATGAAAATAGATCACTGCATAGGACAATTTGTGATAAGATTACAGTTGTTTGCGTTCTTTACTTTAAAAAAGGGAATAGGTTTAACAATTTTAAAAAATTTTCATTTTTGATCTATTACATAAATGACCTTGACCTTTGCATGGACCATTCTTTCTTTGATTTCCAATATATACTTCCGGTTTTGCAGACGTCCAAAAACAGCAATTTTCGAAACTTCAAAGGCTCATATTACTTTAATTTGACCTTTGTTGACCTTTTGACCTGAACAAAAGTTGTTGTCCATTACGAGATATATCCGATAATATCTTCACTTTTGTTGTGCATCGTTAACTTTCGGTTCTACAGCCAATTGAAAATTGACTTTGAAAAATACCAGTCAAAAAGTATTTTTTTATCTAGACTTTCATACATGAGCATAACAATAACAGTTGTTTGCGTTCTTTACTTTAAAAAAGGGAATAGGTTTAACAATTTTAAAAATTTTCAATTTTCGAAACTTCAAAGACTCATATTACTTTTATTTGACCTTTGTTGACCTTTTGACCTGAACAAAAGTTGATACCTTCACTTTTGCTGTGCATCGTTAACTTCCGGTTCTACAGCCAATTGAAAATCGCGATTTTGAACTTTGAAGAGCGTGACCTAATTTACATACGTGAAAATTTCTCTTATGTCCTTATTACACGCAAGCTATTCTTTCAAATGATATATAACACTTGGCATAGTTACTATAGAAGTCAATACAAAATTTTCAAATTCTAAAAAGCGCAATTTCAATCAAAATGCCAAGTGTTATATATCATTTGAAAGAATAGATTGCGTGTAATAAAGACATAAGAGAAAAAAAAAGAATTGACATTTCGATAACAAACTGGGACTCCCAGTATTAATAAAATTTCGATAGATTTTTGGTGAATTTTTTTGTTGAGGTGAACCTTCACTGCTGGTATTGGACTGATCTAGTAATGGAGAAAACAAATTATGCAGTGTGATTCATTCAATTTCATACACAATTTCATTCAATTCCATACACAATTTTTGATTGAAAGTTCACTGTTTTGAGTTATATATGAAATACTTTAAAGATGGGTTCCCTTATTTTCATTTAATAAAGTGAAAATGCTAATACTTATATGAATAGAACGTAGAGGTATTCTAATGACTTTGAAAAATACCAGTTTGTCTCACATGTCCATAATTGATTCATAATTAGCTAAATTAGAAGAGAATTACCAGCAGAATTGAAACTAGTGACCGATTAATAAAGGTCAAAAAGTCTTTTTTTATCCAGACTTTCATACATGAGCATTTATGATTAGTTAAAACTCTTAATTATATGCATTCAGAACATAAAGCTACTTGAACCAGTTGTGGTACTGAGTGGGACTGTGCAAATTTGCTAGAGAATCTGAAAAAATCAACGTTCTTAGCCAATAAGGTCACGTGCTAAAGCAGTCAAAAGTTTTGAAAAATTTGGAAGGTGGTGAAAGCGGAAGTAGAAGTCAGACATCAAATATGAAAGTATCAGTAGAGTGCCAAGATCAATGACCTTTGACCTTGTTAAGAGGAAGGTCATTTAAGGTCAGGATCACTAGATATCAGTCATCAAACTTTGAAAATACAAACAGTATAAAACTGGAAGTTGACGTTAAACGTCAAATATGAAGGTATTAATCTTTACTGAAAGTCAATGACCTTCGATCCTACAAAGGTTAAGGTCATCAAAGGTAAAGGTCAAAAACTGAAAATATGTAACCTTGTTCTTTTTTTTAACACCAACTGGCCACGAGGGTGAGGTAATTGTGTACAAGGTCCAGTTTTGAACAAAATGTACTATATGTAAGTTAGGAAATTTTTTTTTTTTACTTCATTAACAGATCCGCTGACGTTACTTTTTGTTAAATGAAAAAAATAAAATTTCATTTGCAGGTTTTTTTTTATTTGTGTAGTTCCCGCTGACCGGTAACATTCCATACATGTATGTCTTGGAAATAAAAAACAAAACCCCCTTTATTTTTTCGGTCGGATAAGTCTTATTTGCACACGGCTCTTAACTGGGAAAAATCAAGCCTTTCTACTGGAAAGATGTCACGGGCGATTTGGTTGTGTTTAGCCTTTCAGCTAGGCCCAAAAGTCCTTTTTAAAGTCTTCGTTGGTCCAATATCATCTTCAGAAACCAACACAATCAGGCAAATAGTCACCCAACAAATGCTTGACCAAAATTGGAGTCATACGGCATCTTACATATTACTCATTTACTGCCAGTGACATTTGCTGCCTGCACAAGGGGTGACAGATGTGACAGTATTTTTGTTGGAGGCTCCACAGTTGCCAGGACAAACTTGGAAAACCTGTATCTTAAGTCAACTCAATGAGTCTGACCTTGAAATCCCTCCTATATAGTAAGGGTGCATGGATTTATGTTAATTAAAAAAGAACTTCACTCATATGCAAATATCATAAAATTTATGAAAATGCATAGCTGGGCAAGTTTCATGTTACATAAACACTCATTTAAAATGCTTTAAGCCTACTTTACAGCATGTACATATGATCAAAATCTTCTAGTCCAACATAAACAGCTTTTTTAAAACTTTACCTATTGCTTTTTGTTTGTAATTTTTTTTTTTTTTTTATTCCCTCGATCGCTACTGATATTTTTAGGTAGTAAAGGATAATATAAAATAAATTTCAGGAGGTCAATTTTTTATTTTTTTTATTTCGTCCTCGAACATCCAAGGTAAACTAAAGATAGTGGACCACAGCCATATACGCCCTTCAAGGCATGCAGATTGTAAAAACGAAACATCAATTTAAGTTTCATCAAAATCGGTTGAAAACTAAGAGAGTAATTGCATATTCAAGATTTTGGGGCAAAGACAATAACTCTGCTTCTAACGGTCGAAAATAGCTCAAATTCGAACTTAATTCATATTTAAAATGTCTCGTTGAGGTCCGCATTCCAAGCTTCTACACCAAATAGATCATAAGATATACATACACCCAGATCAAAGAAGCGAAAATATTGTAAAAAACACTGAAATTTCAATAAATAAGATTTTCAATTTTGCATTAAAAAACTAGTGTTATATATCACTGGAAAGAGCACGATGTGTACATTCAACATCCACAAAAATTAACCCTCTGATTTAATTAGGTCACGAGCTAAAGCAGTCCAAAGTTGCGAATTTGGCTGTTTTTGGACAGCTATAAAACTAGAAGCAGTTGTACGAGGTCAAATATGAAAGCATCAACTGATAGTCAAGGTCATCAAAGGTCAAGGTCAAAAATTGAAAATCTTGCATTTCCAAAACCTGTTCCTTTTTTTGAATTATGAAGCTGAAACAACTGAACTTCTATGACAAAGTGGCTTAAAGGAATAATAAGCTTTGTAAAATTGTGATAAACTTGAAAGCAATAAACATATTGTAAACGTTTTTGTTGTTGTTATTATTTTATTTTGTCTAATATATCAAATTAAAATCAATAAATTCCAATACCTGGGGCCGCCATCTTTGTCAGGAAAGTCACGTGACATCACGTCACGTCATAGATAGAATATCAAAATGGCGGAATGTCAAGCTTGGTGATGCCTGAACAATAAGAAGAAAAACAAAGACATAAGCTACTTCGGAATACCAGACCCCACTAAGAATCTACAAAAGTGAGCACTGACTGACGGATGGCTCCACAACATCTGTACGAGTTGGACAGTGGATACGTTTCACTTCTCAACAAATAAAGTCGAGTGTGAAAAACATTTTCTACCGCCAGACATCGAAGTTAACATGACCGTTTTGTTTCTTTGATATGCACCCAGGTGTAACTGGCTGAAAGAAACAGCTTTTCCGACCGTTTTTGTCCATAGGTAACCCCCAAGAGAGAGTGGACGAGCTCTCGGCCTACAAAATCAATTACTGCAAGGTGAGTCAATAGTAATAGACACGATAAGCCTAAGCTAAGCTACCTACTGAAGTAAGGCAGATGACAATGACAGTGCATGGTAGCTTTGATAAATTAAATCCTTAGAGGCATATACTCAGGTAATCTGTTCGGACTAAAAAAAAAAAAAAATTGACATTTGGATAACAAACTGATGCTTCCGCAAAGTCCCACAATGACTAAGAATACATGATAACTCATTAAAAACACCAATTTGCCAAATAGTTTTCTTAATTTAACACTACCGAAACCGATATATAGTATACATTGAACAAATGATTTGCATAATTCTTATGTAATTTCATCTAATTTTATATACTCAACATCAAAGGTTGCTAGTTAGTTGGACAGGATATTTTATATTGCAAGCTCACTATATAATAAGGCTGCAACATTTAGCACTTTCTATAAATATAATGAAAAAATTCTTATGGATTACAATTACTAATTTTATTTGAGCGACGTTTCGACCAGTGTTGTCTGGTCTTTATCAAGCAATGAATAATATTACAAAGATAATGTGTCTTCGGGTGTATTCTCTTTGCTTTCTGCAGAGACCTCTCTGTCGAATCTGCAGAGTATTAACTAGAATGGAGTCCGACACAACCATGTGTTGGATAAAAATAATCGTGATGTATCTGCACGATCAATTTTAAGCCCCCTTTTCTTTGTGTGCACAAGAAATTGTGTCATGTTTTCATTTTTCAAGTATGATTTTCACATCAAATTAGATTGCGCAATCCTCCCTGGGGCCTGTGAAGGGTCTTACTTAACAAGTGGTTGCCTAGCGAAATACGCCCACTTCCCTCATAAATTTTCAGTATATCAAAGGCGGTCGCCAATCTGTGTCAAATCTCCGTGTCAAATCGTACCAAATATCTAATTTGATTTAATCAAACACATTATAATGTGGGCATATAAAAAGTTAAATGCCCTCTTAATGTTGAAAATTCATCGGATGCCATCTGAAATCCTCTAGCTGTTGGGCCTCAACGGGCGAATTTTGAGTCATGTCATCGACAATTCGAGATAAACTACCAAACACAACCAAGGATTTGTATTGTACAATCTAGGGACGTGAATCATGAAATAATATTACTATCTTTTTGGTCGCCATGTTTATGCAGTCTTTTTCCGACTAAGCCTGCACATGGGTTCGGGGCAAAATGGACAAACTCTGAGAGCTCTTTGCGCTGTTCTTTATGAGCGGAGAGTTCGGAGTAAGAAAAAACATTTTCGTGAATAAGTGATACGGAGTGCTCCAGAGTAGCAAACAGAACAAATAGATACAGGTTATTCAATTGGAATTAGATGGCTAATTAGTTACCCTGATAATTTTGGCCTTTTTTACGTGGAACTTTGTAGAGTATCAATAAAACAAAGACACCTCTGACAGTTTTAAGGAATCTATGATCAACCTGCTTACATTTTTACAAACATTAGCAAACTTATCGGCGGGAATATCAAAATATTTTCATTTACACATTTAGGTGTTGCAGCCTAACTATATAATAGACTCAATAGTTCTACCTTTAAGGTTATCTTATTCAGTTGATTTCAGTCAAAATGCCAACTTATTCTAATTCTATCATCTGTTTGAATATAATTGATCATTTAATCCCAGAAGTTGTCGCTTTCAAGCATTATTAGTTGAACTTTTGTGTTAATCTCTTAAATGGGGCTAAAATGCCTTTTAGCAAAAATTGGTTAGAAATTTGACTTTCAATCACAATTTTTTCAATCATTTTAACCCCAAAAATTCTTATTCAAATAGTAAATGACTCTGTGTATGTCACATACAGTCGTGTAGAACTGAATCCCACTAAAACCATTTTATTTTGTACAATGACTGAACTAAACAATTTATGCCCAAATACCTGTGTGATGTCTCCGGATAAAAAAATAATGGTTTGATGAAAGTTTAGCTTTAACTATTTTAAGCTTGAACAATTATGATCAAAACCAATATATTTATAATAAACTTTTTCAACCTACCTTTTTGGGTACTAAAGGCAACTTCTTATGATCAAATCTGGGATCTTTCTCCAAAGTTGCTGTTGCCACCTGTGCTAATACATCTAGAGACATATACAGACTCTGAGAATCATTATCACTGTCATAGGGATCAGCTTTTTTGTTGATAGCCAAACAAGGATCTGCTACAGTTATTGCCTTCTCTGAAAACATAATAATAATGGAAAATTGAATAAATGCAAGTTGTAATTATAGCTGAGACGGAAGAAAAACAAATTAAAAATTCAAAGATCTGCTTCCATTCGATTGTAGTATCCAACGATACCAAAAACACTTGAATCCCCCGCTCCCCCCACGACCTGACACGGCGGCGAAACTTTGCATTTTAAAGTCATAGTAGAAAAAAAGATAGCTTGCGTTGCAAGATAACATACGCCCACTGGCAGCTGTCAGAAATAATAAAACAGTCTTTAGTGACTAAAGTACGAATTTTCTCATATTGAAGAAATTATTTATGCTGAGTAATTCCAAAAAGTTTTTTAAAATCAATATCAATAACCCAAATACAACAAACAATTAAATCACACAGCTCTAATCAAGGGCAAAAAACAACTTTTGACGCGTGTTTACAAAGTCAAGGGCAATAACTCAAAAAATGTTCATCAAAAATATCTCTTGTTAGAACTTGTCCGAGATCTTATCAATTCCAATGATCACACCCAGTTTCATCAGAATCGGTTGAAAACTGTATCTTCTATTGTGCTCACAAACAAATTTTGACGCGTTTTTCGTAAGTTAATGGCATTAACTCAAAAACATTTCATCGAAAATGCGTCAAGTTAGAACTTGTCCGAGATCTTATCAATTTCGATGATCACAGCAAGTTTCATCAGAATCGGTTGAAAACTGTAGCTTCTATTGTGCTAACAAACAAATTTTGACGCGTTTTTACAAAGTCAAGGGTAATAAGTCGAAAACCGTTCATCAAAAATGCATCAAGTTAGAACTTGTCCGAGATCTTATCAATTCCAATGATCACAACAAGTTTCATCAGAATCGGTTGAAAACTGTAGCGTCAATCCTGCTCACAAACTATTTTTAACAAATTTCAACACGTTTTAACAAAGTCAAGGGCAATAACTCAAAAACCGTTCATCAAAAAAGGGTCAAGTTAGAACTTGTCTGAGATCTTATCAATTCCAATGATCACACCAAGTTTCATCAGAATCGGTTGAAAACTGTAGCTTCAATCCTGCTCACGAACTATTTTTAACAAATATTGACGCGTATTTACAAAGTCAAGGGCAATAACTCAAAAACCGTTCATCGAAAATGCGTCAAATTAGAAATTGTCCGAGATCTTATCAATTCCAATGATCACACCAAGTTTCATCAGAATCGGTTGAAAACTGTAGCGTCAATCCTGCTCACGAACTATTTTGAACAAATTTTGAGGCGTTTTTACAAAGTCAAGGGCAATAACTCAAAAACCGTTCATCGAAAATGCGTCAAGTTAGAACTTGTCCGAGATCTTATCAATTCCAATGATTACCCCAAGTTTCATCAGAATCGGTTGAAAACTGTAGCTTCAATCCTGCTCACGAACTATTTTTAACAAATTTTGACGTGTTTTTACAAAGTCAAGGGCAATAACTCAAAAACCGTTCATCGAAAATGCGTCAAGTTAGAACTTGTCCGAGATCTTATCAATTCCAATGATTACACCAAGTTTCATCAGAATCGGTTGAAAACTGTAGCTTCAATCCTGCTCACGAACTATTTTTAACAAATTTCGATGCGTTTTAACAAAGTCAAGGGCAATAACTCAAGAACCGTTCATCGAAAATGCATCAAGTTAGAACTTGTCCGAGATCTTATCAATTCCAATGATCACACCAAGTTTCATCAGAATCGGTTAAAAACTGTAGCTTCAATCCTGCTCAAGAACAATTTTTAACAAATTTCAAGGCGTTCTAAGTCAAGGGCAACATCTCAAAAACCGTTCATCGAAAATATGTCAAATTCAAACATGCCTCCAGGACAGGTGTGCTTAAGTTTGAACTAATCAGAATATACTTATTGCTTTTGGGCCTTATAAAAACAATTGAATCTTGTTGAAGCGAGAGCTTTTTAGTTTTGGAGTCATATAGTTTTCCAGTTTTTAGTTTTCCAGTTTCCGACTGGCCATCTGGGTCTTGGGATAACACCATCATTGAAAAGATAGTTCTCAGTTTTAATAGTCTGAGAGAAGTTGTCTCGCAAGATATTGTAGATGTTATCAGTCACAAATAAATAATCTTCAACCCTAAACCTTGTAGTTCATAATAATCAGCCCACCACAGTTCCAAGTAACACCTTTGAAGTTCTTTACTGGAATGTTTTTGTATTGTCTAAGCAGAAATTATTGCGAACACAATGTGCTTAAATCCTACAAAAAGCTAACAGGAACTTTTTAACAGTGATATCTGTAACTAGCTCAAGGGTAACAGGAACAGCACACATAAACAGGCATATATAAACTTACTAAATATATTTAGATTCTTCTTACTATCAATAGGGTTCATCCTTGGGTGATAACGAACACTCACAACAAGTTTCGTCAAAATTCGTCAAGAATTGCGCCTTCTAGAGTATTTATGAGCTAAAAATTGTACGCGTTTTCATGAACAAAGACAATAACTCATACTAAAAATTTGGCGATTTTTCCGATTTTCAATAGGGTTTATCCTTGGGTGATTAAGAACACTTTCACCCAATTTTGTCAAAATCCGTCCAGAATTGTGCCTACTAGAGTGTTTACGAGCGTTTAAAGAACAAGGGCAATAACTCATAATAAATATTTTTTGATTTTTCTGTTTTTCAATTAGGTCCATTCTTGGGTGATTACAAACAATCATACTAAGTTTCTTCAAAATCAATCAAGACTTGTGCCTTGTAGAGTGTTTATGAGCAATTGTGGAAGGAGACAGACGGACTGACGACAATATACGCCCCCCATTTCATGTGGTGATTCCAAAAAGAAAAAATAGGCAGCAATAACCAATCACAGAAGACTTTTTGATGGGATCACCAATACCACTAGCAGTACAGCGATTCATTTGATGTATACTGAACTTGGTGTAATAAATAATAAAACTCGACATCAAATACCATCCTTTAATACCCAACGTTTCGTCAAAAAAGTTTTGACTTCATCAGGGGAAGCAACAAACTACAAATGTACTACTTTTTTGACGTAACGTTGGGTATTAAAGGATGGTATTTGATGTCAAGTTTTATTATTTATTACCCCATAAAAAGTCAAGGGCAATAATTCAAAAACCGTTCATCGAAAAATTGTCAAATTCAAACATGACCAAGATCTCATGAATATAAATCATCACACCATATTCATTCAAATCGAATAAAAACTTTAGTGCTTATTGCGCTCATGAACAAATTTAGACACGTTTTCACAAAGTCAAGTGCAATAATTCAAAAACCGTTCATTGAAAAATCATCAAGTTCGAACATGACCAAAATCTCATGAATATAAATCATCACACCGACACTCATGAACAAATTTAGACGCATTTTTAAAGTCAAGGGCAATCACTCAAAAACTGTTTAACAATAATTCTTCATGTATTCGAAATTTGACCAAGATTTAATGAACATAAAACAAAACACCTAATTTCATTAATAGATATCTTGCAAGGCAAGGTAATATACGCCCACTGGCAGATTAGATTTTGAATAAAAATATTTAGCAGTACAGTAACAATCACCAGTATGAAATATTCAACCTTCAGTCATATACTTCTTTTGAACTCTTTGAAAACTCTAGAAGGCAAATATTCAATCTTCAGAGCGGGACTGAATAATAAAACCAAGTTTTGTCAAAATCCAGTAAGAATCATGCCTTTTAGTGTATAAGAGCTAAATTTGAAAGCATTTTCCAGAACAAGGGCAATAACTCATACTAAATATTTTTCAATTCTTCTGATTTTCAATAGGGTTCATCCTTGGGTGATGACGAACATTCACATCAAGTTTCATCAAAATCTGTCCTTAATTGTGCCTTCTAGAGTGATTACGAGCTAAAAATTGAACGCGTTTCCAATAGCAAGGGCAATAACTCATACTAATTATTTTTTTATTTTTCTGCTTTTCAATAGGGTTTATCCTTGGGTGATAACAAACCCTCATGCCAAATTTTGTTTAAATCCGTCAAGAATTGTGCCTTCTAGAGTGTTTACAAGCTAAAAATTGAACGCGTTTTCAAGAATAAGGGCAATAGCTCATACTCAATATTTTTAGATTCTTCTGATTTTCAATAGGGTTCATCCTTGGGTGATAAACAACACTCAAGCCAAATTTCGTTGAAATTCGTCAAGAATTGTCCCTTCTAGAGTGTTTATAAGCTAAAATTTGAACGCATTTTCAAGAACAAGGGCAATAACTCATACTAAATATTTTTCAATTCTTCTGTTTTTCATTACAGTTTATCCATGAGTGATAACCAACACTCATGCCAAGTTTCGTCAAAATCCGTCAAGAATTGTGCCTTCTAGAGTGTTTACTAACTAAAAATTGAACGTGTTTACAAGAACAAGGGCAATAACTAATACTAAATATTTTTCAATTTTTCTGATTTTCGATAGGGTTTATCCTTAGGTGATTACAAACACTCACACCAAGTTTCGTCAAAATCCATTAAGAATTATGCCTTCTAGAGTGTTTACAAGCTAAATAACTCATACTAAATATTTTTTAATTTTTCTGATTTTCTATAGGGTTTATCCTTGGGCGATAACGAACACTCATACTAAGTTTCATCAAAATCCGTCATGAATTGCACCTTCTAGAGTGTTTACGAGCGTTTCAAGAACAAGGGCAATAACTCATAGTAAATATTTTTTGATTCGTCTGATTTTCATCCTTGGGTGATTACAAACAACCATACCAAATTTCGTCGAAATCAGTCAAGAATTGTGCCTTGTAGAGTGTTTACGAGCAATTGTGGACGGACGGACCGACGGAAAGAGGTGACGGAAAGAGGTGACGGCAATATACGCCCCCCATTTCATGTGGGCGTATAAAAAGAATGAAAACAGTAGTCTCTATTGTGCTCACAAGAAATGTATGTATATATGTGAGTCATTTAATTGTGGGAATTTTGTTGATATTTCAAAGTGATACTACGTCTTAGAATGAACATATAATTTAAGATACCTGGTGTCATAAAACTACAACAGAATCCCTGTAAAATCTGGAAAATTCATAAAACTAACTAATTATTGAAAAATGCTTAATCTTGATACTAAGCGTTTTTCAATAGTTCATTGAATATTTATGTATAATTTATGTTTTTTTGGATTTATCAGATTATATAAGGATCCTGTTATGTTATTTATGACACCAGGTATATCACTGGCTCTTAATCGCCAAGTTTAAAATTCTGATATTTTATGTTAATTTCTAAGACGTAGTATCACTTTAATAAGAACACAAACTACAAATGTATAAATGTTAGTTCAAATGGGAATGAGCCCGAACAGATAGACAATATTATTGACACAATATTTTTGATAGAGTGATATAAGTTTTTGAAATTTGAATTCCAATAAATATGTTTAAACCAAACACATAGTTATAAACTTAAATTACTAATATTTACATTTCTACTATCACTTCCTTCAATAAACCAGTTAGCCAAACCGGCGTTTATTTTCCAATAACTGTAGTTTGTCATGTGACAATAAGGTGTATGAATACATCGAAAACAAAAACAAGGATTGACCCAAGTTTTTTACTTAGAGTTGGAAAGCGATTTTGAAAGGGTTTCTAACAACTATTTTAAATCAAGCCATATTAAACAGATTCCGTTTTTTATTAGAAGAAATAAAGTGTTGATTTATAGAACTATATTGTTAGGGGCGGGGCGGTGAACTTGATTGACAGATATCAGTGAATTAAGCAACAACAGTTTCGGGTATTTTTACAATTAAAAAATAGAACATTTTGGCGTATTTTATCAGAAAAGATAAACCAATGTAAATATAAGGAATGAATGTGGATCTTGTTATTGTTATGGGGAAATAAACGCTGGTTTATCATGTGACAAGACGTACATGACCCGCTTCGCCATTAAAATTTCAATGTTTCAGGCATCTTAACTTCATCATGCTTTTTGCTCACATGGGATAAAGACTGACTATGAAAATTAAATGAGATAAGAATGACCTGAACATTTTTAAGAACAAATCCTTGTCAGTCAAATAGATGCAAAAAACATGTCCCTTTACAGGGTTCATACATGTAGGCTAGTACTGGAGGTGCTTTACAAGAACAAGTTTGGAACACTCTAACATGTGAAATAGCTTTCCTGCATTTGCTATTGTGACTTATCTTTTTTCACTTTGACCCATTAACTAAATTCACTCATTTGTTACCACGATCGGTTAAAAGTACATCTTCTGGACATAGCGATAAACTCAGATAAGAACAATACAAGACACAAAACGGATTTTGACAAAACTTGGTATGAGTGTTCATAATCACCCAAGGATGAACCCTATTGAAAATCAGAAGAATCTAAAAATATTTAGTATGAGATATTGCCCTTGTTCTTGAAAACGTGTTCAATTTTTAGCTCGTTAACACTCTAGAAAGAACAATTCTTGACAGATTTTGATGAAACTTGGTGTGAGTGTTCGGAATCATCCAAGGATGAACCCTATTGAAAATCAGAAGAATTGAAAAATATTTATTATGAGTTATTGCACTTGTTCTTGAAAATGCGTTAAATTTTTAGCTTGTGAACACTCTAGAAGGCACAATTCTTGACAGATTTTGACGAAACCTGAGTGTTCGTTATCACCCAAGGATAAACCCTATTGAAAATCAGAAAAATCGAAAAATACTTAGCATCAATAATTGCCCATGTTTTTGAGAACGCATTCAATTTTTAGCTTGTAAACACTCTAGAAGATTGACAGATTTTGATAAACTCGGTGAAATTGTTTATTATCACCCATGGATGAACCCTATCGAAACCAAAAAAATCGAAATATGTTTCATAGGAGTTATTGACTTCGTTCTTGAAAACGCTTTTAAATTTTAGCTGCTAAAAACTAAAAGGCATGATTCTGGCCGGATTTGGACAAAACTTGGTTTTATTATTCAGTACTGCGCTGAAGATTGAATTTTGCCATCTAGAGTTTTCACGAGCTAAAAATTGAACACGTTTTCAAGAACAAGGACAATGACTCATACTCAATATTATTCAGTATCGCCTTAAAGAGTTCAAAAGAAGTGTATGACTGAAGGTTGAATATTTCATACTGGTGATTGTTACTGTACTTCTAAATATTTTTATTCAAAATCAAAGATGCCAGTGGGCATATTACATTGCCTGGCAAGCTATCTTCAATAGAGTTCATTCTTGGGTTATTACAAACACTCACACCAAGTTTTGTCAAAATCTGTCAAGAATTGTGTCTTGTAGAGTGTTTACGAGCAATTGTGAACGGACGGACGGACTTCCATTTCATGTTGGCGTATAAAAACAGAACAATCTTGT